GGGAGAAATGTAATGAAATACAACAAGGGCAAGTGTAGAGTCTTGCATCTGGGAAAGAACAACCCCATGTACCAGTATAGGTTGGGGACTGACCTGTCAGAGAGTAGCATAGGGGAATGGGACCTGGGGGTCCTGGTGGACAGCAGGATGACCATGAGCCAGCAAGGTGCCCTCGTAGTCAAGAAGGCTGATGGCATCCCAGGGTGTATTAGAAGGGGTGTGGTCAGTAGGTCGAGAGAGGTTCTCCTCCCCCTCTACTCTGCCCTGGTGAGACTTCATCTGGAATATTGTGTCCAGTTCTGGGTCCCTCAGTCAAGAAGGGCAGCGAACTGCTTGAAAGAGTCCAGCACAGAGCCACAAAGATGATTAAAAGGGTGGAACATCTCCCTTATGATGAAAGGCTGAAGGAGCTGGGTCTCTAGCTTGGAGAAGAGGAGACTGAGGGGTGACCTCATTAAAGTTTATAAATACATAAAGGGCAAGTGTCAGGAGGATGGAGCCAGGCTCTTCTCAGTGTTGTCCAATGATAGGACAAGGGGTCAATGGGTGCAAGCTGGAGCATAGGAGGTTCCACATTAACGTAAGGAAAAACTTTTTTCACTGTGAGGGTGACAGAGCACTGGAACAGGCTGCCCAGAAAGGTTGTGGAATCTCCTTCTCTGGAGACATTCAAAACCCGCCTGGTCACATTCCTGTGTGATCTGCTCTAGGTGGTCCTGCTCTGGCAGGGGGGGTGGAATAGATCTTTCGAGGTCCATTCCAACCCCTAACATTCTGTGATTGCAACCCAAACCATTCTATGATTCTACGATGTCTGAGGCTGATGAGAAAAATCTCAAGCAACTTCACATGAGCCCACATTTTACTCATTCTAAATAACTTCTTGTATTTCCATATATCCTCCACACTGTGAAAAGCCAACAAAATAGAATGCTCTTAATAGTAAAGCAAATGCATGGGAGGTCAACAGGGTTAGTCTAGAGGGCAACAGATACCTCTCCCAGGAACTGCTCCTCTGTAGCCTGGCCTTTGTCCCCCTCGCTTGGCACAGGTTCATCAGATTCTGCAGGATCCTTCAGCAGAGAGAATATGCCATTAAAAAAAAGCCAGCAAAAGAGGAAGAAATACTTTGCAACACAGAGTATAGCTACCTTCCCAACAACAACAGCCAGAAACAGACTGCAAATCACAGAAATGCACTGGCAATATAAGCTTGAGTATGACAAACATGGTAGAGGCCCTACATTTCCTTCCTCTTTGTCATTACACAGTACGTTGTGCTGTTCTCATCTTGGTTGCCTGAAAACATGTAGCAAAACTTCTCTTCCCCACTAGGTGACTACAGATGGCATCCCAAATGCCTATGGCACCCCAAATGTCTATGGCACAAAAGCAATGCAGTCCCCTCATTGTAGGCTTAGGCCACTGCAATTACAACAGGCAATGCCTTAACTGTATTATTGCGGGTAAGTGTTATGGGATCACACTCTCAGTTCCACTTTTTTTAAAGCTTGGGGAAGGTGCTGCTCTTGAAACCAGCTGCCAGGCAGAAAGGCTCTGCCCTACCCCACAGGCAGCACAAAGTCTCACAGTGAGCAAGACATAGGCAGCCAAAAGAAAAGGTGGAGGGCCATCACTGAGACCCTGAACTAAAACGTGACTGAGAGCCCTTTTTTGGGAAAGGGGTCGTAGAAAAAAAAGTGGTTGTTTCTTCAAATAAGTACCTTCATCCTACCGAATGTAGGAACTTGTCATATGCTGCATTATTTGTGACTTACTTTGGGACAGCTACCAAGCGGAAAGAAAAATTCTTCTTACTTTGCATGTGACCATGGCACTATAAAACTAAACGCAGAGTTGTCCACATGTGTTCACTTACCTCTCCCAAGTCACCATCTGCAAGACCTTCTTTATTCAGAGCAGACATAATCTAGAAAACAACCAAGATTTAAGTAAGTGCTCTTTTATGTTAGAGAGGTGGACCTCTTGCTGATCTCTTGGATTGCAAAACTGGTGCATGTAGCTAATATGCTGCTTACAGAACAGTTAACATGAAAATAAAGCCATTTCCTTTCCCAGCCTGGTGATGGATTTACTGCTAAGCCCCCTGCACCCCAAGCTCTGATAGAAACAACAGCTGCCCCATGCCTTTAAACCTTTAATTGTTAACTCAAGAGCCTCAAACCTCACTGCAGCTGCTGGAAACCACAGTAATAAAAATAGTATCAGAGCATGCAGGATAAAATCCTCTTGTCTGCTCTGGTTAGGGAAAATAAAGCAGTGACAATTCTTCTGGAGCAGGGAGCCTGTCAGGAAGCTGTGGTTTCAAGTATAGCACCATATGGCTGTGGGCTAGGGTTTTCCAAGGCACAGAAGAGTTAAAATGCCCAGCTTTTACTGCTTTTCAAAGCAAATCATGACTCCAGATTCAATTAGGGCCCTCAAAAATGCCAATTTAATGTATAGAGTTTAAAATACATACAGAAAATATATTAGTTCAGCATCTGGGAGCCTGAGTTTATTTTACCCTTGTAGGCTGGTTGTCACAAAAAGCTGAGCTCTAACTGCTGGAGATATTTTCTCTTTCTTTTCAGTCATTAGTTTACAATAGAAAGGAGAAATCCAGGACTTGACTTGCATATGATAATCACAGGTTTTAAGAACAGTAACATGAAAAAGAAGTTGTGATTTAATGAGTTTATCATTTGGGTATCACAAATTTTCAGGTGAGCTGACCTGTAGTGTACCTGTAGTGTTTCTTGACACTAAAAAACATGGATTCAACTTCAACATGGAATGCTTTGTTGAGAAACAGCTACATGAAAACATGGCCTTGCAGCTTCCCTCAAATACTGAAATAATGGGGTAGGCACAGCATTTCAGGCCACTCAATTCAGCGATGCCTATTTTCCCAGCTTCTCCCCATGCACAGGGCATATCAAACCCAGAGCAACAACAGAAGTGGGCTCCAGACTGCATGAGGCCACTCTGCAGGACCACTATTTAATTTCAACTGGATTTTCTAATTGAGACCTGCTTTTCGAAAACAGGATTCCCCTTGCTGTGCTAGACTGACTCACGCAACAAAAATTTAGAAGCTGAGGACAGACTGTTAGCAAAACCACGATTTTTTTTCTGTAATTATAGTAAGTTTGCCCTGGAGGCCATTTAATTTGTAACCATAATGACATTTTTATGGAGCCAGTCTTTGAAAATAAAACATTAATTTGATACAATGAAAAGGAGTCAAATATTCAAATCCACTGAATCAGAACTGAAGAAATACTATACAGTTCCTGGGTACAGCACTGAAAGCAATAAAGAGCCAAAATGCACAGCAGATAACCCCCTGTAACACTGAGATAAGAATCTTCTTCCAACTTGGAAGAAAGCTCTATACTTAAGATGTACAAGTTGCTTCCTGGTAATTCAAATTTTGCCATTCCAAATGTAACCTGGTTTGATCTTTCTTTTCTTTTTTTTTTTTATTTGTAAAAATGAATGGCATTCCACACAAAAAAGGGACTATTCTAGGTTTTCCAAGGTTGTTAATGAAGCCCTGAAGATTGCTTACATGTTCAACCAGAAAGCATAAAACCAGATCAGATTCCATGATGCTACAGCAGAAAGATGTCACATAACAAAGTCACATGAATAGCTTGAACCAACAAATATCAAAGCTTCTTGATGGGTGAGAATTTCAGATCAACACTAGACAGCCAGACAGACACACCTCTGAAGTCTCTTGCCTGCTTTGAATTTTTCACTGAACATCCATATTACAAGATGACACAGCTAATAAAAAAAATGAACACAGCAAACCGCTTGCTGTAAGAATTCTGAAGTTACTCATGAGTTGTTTATCTAGACAAAATTTAAACAGCAGAGGAAGATTTCTAGTGTCCTTTGGAACAAAGGAATTCCTTAAATAACAAAACTCCAAGTCAGCCATGTTTAAACAGTAGCTCTGGCACCAAACCAGTTCTATTACGGCTATTAGGAGAGCTGCAGCACTGACAAATACTATCTGCTGGGAAACACACCAAAAATAATATTGTATGAAAATGTTTATTTATCGAATAGCCTGTAGATACTGCCCACAGGTAAACGAGTACTTCAACCAAACATGGCATTGCCAACATTTTAGGCTGTACTCTGTGGACACATCCATCACTAGTGCATTTAACACAAGCACATTTACCTTCTTCCTCAGATCATCTTTCCTGTATCCCAAGAGCTCAAGGTATTTAACACGTGAATCTTCTTCAAAGTTCACCTTTAAAAAAACAAAAGTTAAAGAATATACTGCAACTCACAATTTTTCATTTTCTCCCCCACTGGCTTTTTACTTATTAGCACAAATTACTCAGTAAGAGCTAGCTGCTGTGGAAACTGAGTGTAATAAAGAGAACTGAAAAGGTCTTCAGTGACTTGGGCACCTGAGCAGGTAGGCAAGGCTTCAACCTGGTTATTGTAGGTGAACAATCGCTTACCTGCTTCACTCTGGAACCTCTAAATGTTCACAGGGAGCAGGGAAAACCACATCTAAAGCTATTCCAAAGCTTCATCCCTTCTCATGAGCTCCCTGTACAAAGATGCACTGATGTGGGATGTCAAAAAACACAGGATACCTTCCCCCAAGCCTTGGCTTCTGCCATGATTTCTCATGAACCCTGCAAACACCCCTGTCCCCAAGGACCCTCTCTCTTCTAGTGGACCACCTCCAATGACAGGGCTTATGGTCACTACTCCCACAGCCTACACTTTTGGTTCCCAGCATCTCTTCTGCTAAAACACCATAATGTCCAGAAGGAACCATTTCTGCACTGGCTTTCCAGTGCAGGAACTCCTGAATTGCTGTTATCCTGTTACCTTTAAGAAGGCCCACACATTTTTCTCAAAGTCAGCCTGGGCCATGTCGATTTTCTTCTGGCAGTAGCTGACGAAGCCTTCGGACTGCACAGCCTCCTGCAGCTGGTTTGAGCGGGCCAGAAACTCCTTCTCTGTAATAACCTGGCTCACATAGACATGGTGACGCTGCTGCTGCTGCTCGATGCCTGGCTGCTGCTGTCCCTTGGCATTCTCAAATGTAACCAGCTTGCCTCCAAACTGGAATTGAGGCACACATACAGTATGTAAAAATACAAGTATACACTGGAGTGCTTACGAAAAAGTATGCACATACACATATGTATGCACATGATTTTACATAGTGTATATATGCTTACCGTCCAATGGACAAACATTCCTGACCAACTCATTGATTTTTTTTTTTCCCCATCACCCCATATTTCTATGCATGTAAGGAGCTTGCTAATAAGTGGGCGCTTATTTAACAAGGTTTATGAGCATAGCTAGTCCTGTGCCTGTTTTCTCAGGCAAAAGACTGACTAGAAACTGAGAACTAGAGCTGTTAGTCTGTACAATGCCCAGCATAAATGGAGTATCTCACAATACTGCAATGTAATTGCCAAAGAAACCTATGCATCATTAAATAAATGCTGAAGCATGATGTCTGTTCTGCTCTTGGCAGGCTGTTTACCGGTTAAAAGCCTACTGAGAGACGGGCAATAAGTTGTGTCATCATTTGGAAACAAGTAAAATCAACAGAAATAAAAAAATTAGAAGGGGCTTATATTATTTCATTCTATAGCTCAAAGTTAATTTACATAGGCCAGTCCAATAAATGACAATGTCAGCACTGCAAAATGCAAAAAGCCTAGCCAAGAAAGACTGACAGCTGGCTCCAGAAAAAACAGGACAAATAAGGGAACAAACACCATTATAAAATGATACATTAGTCAGTGGCTAGGCAACATCACTTCTCTTTGATGGGAGAAAATTGCACTTAATTTGTGCATCAGACTGAATAAGCAGACATACCATGTTGAAAATTGAGCAGTATTTTGGCAAAGAAATCCACTTCAAGTGGGTAGGCTAAAAACTTCAGGAAATGGCCTGTGGGTCTAGGATATAAGCCAAAGGTGGAGCCAAAGAGCAGATAACTGCTCTCACAAAAAGCTGGGCTTTGCCACCGTTTCACTTGGCTCCTCTGCAAATCAACCAGCCATGGAGGAGCCTAGCCATGTGCTGTGTACTGTTACAGCGACTCCTGGCTACCTTTATCAGAGCTAACCTGACTATTCTTCACCACATTGACTATAATAGCTTCAAACTGCACTCAAGTCTCAAACACTTGCCCAGTTTGGTCCTGTTCCCCCCTCCCAATGTATATTTGTTTACACCAAAGCAAGCACTGCATGTAAATAAAAGCAAAGCCCTAATTCCAAACCAGAAAGAAACAAGTACCTGTTGGCAACATAACACCTTGTTTCTTTTTCCCAAGCATTTTTGTCACTTTTGCTGGCTTGCTGTCTCAAGTGACCAGTCAGGAAGCTGCTGCGAGCATCTTCCACCACAACAACAAGCAAGGGAAGTCCTCCCAAGGTGAAGCACAATGTTCAACTCCCCTCTTCCTAAAGTGTTTTTTTCACAGGTGCCACCACTATCTCCCTCCCTGCCTGGCCAACCATGCCCAGCTTTGTCTCCCACTTACCGAGAACGATGCTCCCATGGGTCGCCGTATCCATTTGGGTGGTTTCTTTAGGGGCAAAATGACACTCTGTGGGGCAGTCTGCTGGGGAAGCTGCAGGGGTGGAAGGGGCTGTCCTGTACCAAATGGATCAATGTTCCCAAAAGACGATGAAAGCTTTAATAACAAAAGGGGGAAAAACCAGAGGTGACATTTCTCCAATAAACTAAACACAAGCATTTGTTTGCAATGGATTGGTACTCCTGCAAGCAGGGTTGCAGTCAGCCACTGAAGACTTCCCATGAGCCCACAGCTTCCCCCCCCCGCCTCTTTGTCCATATTCTTAGCTGAACATTTCTCAATACCTGGTCAACTTGCTTCTGCCTCAAGTCATCTGTGCTGCCTCCCATGATGGAGTAAACGCTGATCCTCCCGTCGAACGAAGCTGCAGACAAGATAGCAGGGTTTCTGGGACACCACTGGATATCAAAGCACCACTGTGTGTTCGTGGGCAACTCATACAGCACCTAGGCAGCAAAACCAAGTCCAACAAATCAGGGCTTTTATGGTTCACCACGTCCAACAGCAACAATACTCCCGCGTACCCTGAGACTGGTCTGCTCTTCTTGCTCCCCAGCAGCCTCTACATCTCCGCACACACTAGTGGTCAAATTCTGACAATCACCAAACAGGAAATTATTATACACCAGTGCTTAATTTCCTTCTCCTCCAATTAAATCTTCTGTTTAATCCACACAGGACAAACTATGCAGGCAGGGTATGTCTGTGCTGTCCCACTGCAAGCTGTGAGCTGATGCTAATATTCATGCTAGTTTCATTCAGCGCTGATCTGGGTATCTCTACACACGACATGGAGACACGTCCAGGCTCCAAAGTCATTCTGGTTTTGCAGGAAAATTGGAAAAGTTAAAGCCTGCACTCTGGGCAGACAGCCTCTCCTGCCCTGGAACAGACAAGCCCACCAGATATTTAGCCATAAACTATGAGAAACTCAAAGAGCAAAATGCCAGCTGCCTTGCTGTCTCCCAGGAAACTGGTTTTTATTTTTAATAAAAACATGTAGTATCAGCCATGTGTAAAGCCTTCCTAACAGCACAGGATCCACCTCAGATAACTCATTTACCACCACACAGCTTTTGAACTTTTGGGCCAACATCTTAATTTTAGAAACACTTCTTACTCCACCCTCCAGGATTATTGCCAACCGCATGGAAGAAACCCTCTAGCGTGCCTGAAGCCCTTTTTGTGGACTAGCAGAAACACTCAAGTTGTCTGAAAACAGGATCTGCATCCCCTTTGAAAGCTATCTCCAGGCCCAAAAGGGCAGAGTGGGACACATCCAAGTGGCTTTCACTGATCTTCCACTACTGTAGTAACCTACAAAATCCCTCTGGTCTGGATAAAAGTTCTTACACTTACAGAAGGAAAAAGGCAATCGCAACAGTAATCCAGCCACATCGGGCCCAAAACAAAAGAGCAGGAAGAAATACTTAGTTTAAGTGGGGCCATTTCTATCCCTATAATGAGCAGAAACCTTACTACTTAGCAGGAGAGAAGCAGTAAGGACAAATGTGTAATATCGGCAATATTAGGAAGGAATCCTGTACCACCAGAACAAGCTCGGAAGGCACATATACCAAACACAAGTACACAGGATAGGGACAAACATCTCACAGAAGCACCATTGCTAGGAATGCAAGCACAGCAACACCTGCTTTGCACATGCCACTGTGAACAGAGATATTTTTTTTTTTTTTTAAGTAGTGTGCATACAATACCTCGCCCGTGTTAGGGTTGGAGCAGAGAATTTTAGCATCCTTCCCACAGCTAAGTAGCAGCTCTGAATCTGCCATACTCCAAGAAATGGCCAAAATACCCCTGCATGAAAAGACACAACAAAAAAAAAGTTTAATGCGAACGCAAAAGTGATAAATAAAGCATATTTTTAAGATGAGTTTCTACATTACCTGAGCACTCCAAACTCAAATTGCCCTCCCTACTCTTTCCTCTTACAAGAGAAGAAATGATATCAGCAATTTATCTATTGAAATAGATGCTTTCTATTTTCTGCATGAAGAGGTATAAAGGCACAGCCATTGTATCTAAAAATTAAATGCAACAGTCACGAGGGAGAACCTGGATGCCAATGTAACGAAGTAGCTTGTTTGCCTGCAGTATCATTAACATATAGTGTGTGCAAACCTGTAGGTAAGGTTGGTGACTATGAAATTTGTCAGCTTCTTTTTATTAGCAGAAGATTTAAGTCAGCAGAACCACTGGCAGCAGTTTCGGTAGAAGCTGCAACACATCCTTATTGCTGTTCTCTCTCCTTAAATCAAGCGTTGGTTTTGGGCAATAAGGAAAGTTTCACTAACGATTGAGATGGGACAAGAATTTAACAAAATCTTTTCTTGTACCCACATTTAAGGCACTCAGGGGATCAAGAGGCAGAGAGACTGTGCATGTCCACATGTGAGGATGTGCCTAGGTGCACCTTCAGTCCATTATTCAGGCAAAATCAACCATTACTAACTCTTTGCACCTCAGCTCCCTCTTCTCAAAAAGCACAGAAACAAACTAGCAACTTCAGTGTTTCAACAGGACGGCATTTTTGGGAAGGGGGGGATGGGTGGTGGTGGTGTAGGGGGGGCCTGTTCTCTTCAAACCAGCAGGTCTCAAAAAGGCAAGCCTTTCCGGACACAGGGTTGGCTGGTCAGCAAGCCAGCATATAACACTGCCTGCTGCCGGAATTGCTGCCTCCAACCAAGTGAGCCTTCAGAGGGAACTGAGCAAGCGAGATGGTACACAGTCACAAACAGCGCGAACACCATGGAGCAAGGCTACATCAGACGCATACCTTGTATGGCTTTCTAGAACACGAAGTGGCGAGGAAGCAAATCTTAGGTCCCACATCTGAATCACAGGCAATCTGTCATCCTCCGAGGCCAAAACCATCTGGGTAGCAACATCAGGGTGCCATGCAAGGCCTGAGCAGTGCATCTGAGGGACAACACCGTGCCACAGCATAAGATAACTGAGCAGCACTGAAGGACAAAATACAACTAGCCTAAATATGTCTACCTGCATGGTAAAGCACTATTGTGAGGGAATTTGCAGGTGTGATTCCGGGCATTATTTCTGACTGCATTCAAATTGGGATACTGTCTTCATTTCCCTAAGTGAGGAGACTTGCAGTTAAGTTTCCCAAGGTCCTCTCAAAGAGATGACTTTGTGTTGTCTTGTTCACAGTCCTATGTTTTAATGTAAGAAAAATGTAAAGCCTGCTGTACAAACCTTTTTCTCTAATATTTTTATTGATATTTTAATAAAAGCCATTGTTATGCAGTGGTTATTGTCATGTGAACATTGTATCACTAGACTACAATCACATGATAGGACAGTCTACCGTGCTGTTGTTACATTAGGCAACAAATACAGAAAACATTGAGAGTTACACAGTTTATCAGAAGAGTGCAGTGACCAAGCAACTACTTCAGGAGCATCCATTTGTGAATTTCATTTTTTACTCCTGCTACACTTTCAAAGTTTGTTAAAGCAACAGTGCATTTAAAATATACAGAATTACACAAATACATCACTCTCTGCAAGTTCAATGGCTCTTTTTCACATTTACACTGCCTGAGGAGCATGTATGGTGGCTGTAACTATATGAGGCAGTGTCCCCTGTAACCCACTCAATGGCAACACCTCTCCGTGGCTGCAGCCTGCTTCCATCTCCATATCCAGACCAGCAGAAGCACAGGTCCCCATTCCATCAGTCATCAGTGTCTTGCCAAGGCTCAGCCCTTGTGCTCATCCCACCTGTGATGCCAAGGAGGAAGCCCTCTCTGCCTGAGCACTAAGTCAAGACATCACCTCCTCTGCAAAACTAAATGTGCTCACACAGCGCACATCAGCTGCAATCTCTTCTCTGTAGCACACAAAACAGTATTTCTGACTGGCTGAATAAAGAAATCTTTCTGTGCAGCCCAAATAAATCAGTAATGGCTTTCTCCACACTAATTTATCATTCCAATAGGAAATCTGAGTGCCTTGCCTTGCTTCAATCTGCATCTGCCTATTTTTGTTTAAAATGCTGACAATCCCTCTGCATAAGAAAAAGTATTAGATATTTAGCAGGTTGTATGAAACCAGGCCAGGCACCAGTATCTTTATGTTATGTAAGAAGGGGTGCTACGACCCATCCCCACATGCCAAGAGCCATCCAACAGCTAACTCACCCGGTTATTGTGGTCACTGACTTTGATGATGGGTTCGTTCTTCCTGAGATCCCACACAGTGGCTCGGCCGCTAGGACTGGCAGATGCCAGGATGTGCTGGACTTGCCTGTTCCATGCGATGCAGCTGATGTCCTCAAGAGGCTGTCACACACACAGAACAGCCTGTCACAACTCTTCCAAATCTAAGACTCAAAACTTATTATTTTCAGAACCTGCTAAATTACAAGTCTGCAAGAAGACTCATCCCAGGTACCGCGTGTGTTCTGATTTCCTATGTACACACACTGTAGGGTAGAAACCCACAATTTATAAGCTGCTAGTATTTCTCTGCATTTTCTGCTTTACAGTATGATATAGTAGTCGCTTAAAGAATCTAAGCACAACTGTCTTAAAGAACAGAAACTTACTCCATGAAAGTATAACCGGGTATATGAACTGCCCTTTTGTGTCGGATTATTAGGTTTTGACTTACAAAATAATTATAAAACTTGCTTGGAAGAACTCTGTGGGGGTTTTTTTTAACCCCCTCCCGACCGCTTATTTTTAGTCTGAGAATTAAAAACAATATTAACCCAGTCCTTGTTGCACTATTATTTCCAGCTGTCATTAAGCATATGGACTAAAAGATTTCCCAGCCTAAAAAATGCTATATGGGGATCTTTAAGGCAAGCATCCTCCAAAATGCCCATATGATAAACAACTCAGACTAAATATCAAAACCCACAGTTTTAACTAAAAATCTTTAAACTGAAGATTACTTCTCATCTTATTTCCTCACTTTGTTGTCCCTGAATTATCGAGCAGTAATAAACCCATTTTCCAGTAACCACAAACTTCTTGTGCTATTTTGTAACAGCTACAGAAACGTACATGCATTGAAACAACTTCCTCCCATTCTCCTATCTCCTTCACAAGGCATGAAGTATGAAAAGCTATTGCTTTTCCCCATAGATCCTCTTTAAGAGACACAGGCTAAACACTGGCCCTTAAGTACAGCAATTAAACACTCCCTGAAACCCATGAAGGCAACTGCCAAACCTACTGCCTCATCTTCTGCTTCTCAGTAGCTGCTTTTTATCTTCCTCCTATTTTCCTCAATCTGTACCTTCATCATCTTCAGTCATGCATGCAGTGAAACATGCAGAGGAAGACTAGAAGACATGTAATAGTTATGGATGCTTAAAAAGTAGTGTAACCTTAGAGATTCAGCTTGTTATTACTTGTTGCTTGAAAAAAACAACACACTTCTCAGACTAAGGGGATACTTCGGCTTTCCCTGGACAAACACAATTTTTCAAAAAATAAAATCCCACCACATGAAGATGTGAATCAACTGCTTGTGCAGCCAGCCAAAACTGCAGATCTGTTGTGGATAAACATGACTGCACATATAGGGTTGCTGCATGGGAAGTAGAGCAAACTACTCATCTCATGGACCTGTGCATGCTTGCACCTACAGGCACAGCCAGGAAACCGCACTCCAGGGGCTAAAAAGGCAGCAGTGTCCAGTCACCCTTGTACGGAGCTGGGAAAAAAATCACAACTAGACACAAAGTGCAGCAAAATACTGCTGTCACAACTGACTTCCTTCCAAAAGCGCTCACAGAAAGCTACCTATGCTGCTGCTCAGAGAGTACTGTCCTTAAGGACATGGGCTCCTGCCATATGCTTTGAGTCACAGGCATGTCACAAACAGAAAAATACTCAAACCTCACAGTCTAATAAACATTATACAAAAACTAAGTACCAACAGAAGGCCTATTTTCGTTGGCCTTTGGGAATGCCACTGGGGAACAACATGCAGGAACATATTTTTCTTCCTTTTGATACAGAGATCTGTTGTATCATCCCTTAAGGACTGTATCTAACATTGCCAGAAATCTAACTCATGGCTAACTACAATTAACTGCTACCCAAATTAGACTCCAAAAGGCTTCCCCCTACCCTTGATACAGCTTTAAAAGTGCAGGTTTCAATGAGCTCTCAACTTAAGTGGCATGCATATTTCTCATTAGTCTGCTCTGCAATATTTAAACAAATACAAATCTGGTACCTGTGTCTTCACTCCTGGTGTCATTGGTGCAGCAAAACTGTTCAAGTCCCAGACATAGATTTCAGACTCATTAGCACCAGAGGCCACCAGATTAGTCTGTAAGACACATTAAAAGATGTTAAGAGTATTTTCAGCATCAGCTTTCACAGTCTTAGCTGCTGGGAGGCATCAGATCCACAGGACTCTGCCAATTTCTCCTATAAGCTCAGGATACAGCCTTTAGCTCACACAGAGCAGCTTGGGGAAAAAAGCAAGTTTTGAGATTGCAGGTAAGTCCATACACTGCACTAGACTGGCAGGCCAAGACCAAAATTCCCATTTTGTGGAGTGCTCTTCCACTGCACAGAAAACACCCACGCGAAGGCTGTAGGGGTGCAGCCACGGACAGGAGTGAAAAGCAGTGGCACTTCTGGGAGGGGGCAGACGAGGAAATGGTGCTGCAGCTATCGTCACTGCAGAACTTTGCTCCAGGCAGACCGTGACATGTGGGACCAGCTGGATGGAGCGTGGCATTTGTGCCTCCATCGGTGGAAAGCACCCCACCCACAGTGAGCGCAATCATCCGGAGCAATTCTGTGTCTGGGATGCAAAAGTCCAGGCAGGGCAACATGAGCAGAGGGCACCAAGCACCCTTTGATCACATCCTGTGGCTGGTGATGGGCAAGTCCCAACTTTGTAATGGACAGAAAGGGAAAGGAAGCAATTCAGAAAGGACACAATGAACACAGGGCAGCCTCGCTGAAAGCAAGTGTGCACAGAAGTGCTATTTAGGAAACAAATTCAACTGAATTCTCACACAGCTGGTGAGGACGAGGAAAAAACAACCCACTGTATCTAAAAGAAAGTAAATGCTCATTAGTGATGGAGGAAAGCTTGTCAGTTTTGAGAGCTCTTCTGCTAAAGAGGTCGCATTACCACGTTTCCTGTTCTGTCTCCTCTTTCCAAGTAACAATACTTAGAAGTTTTGAAGCCGGATCCTACCCAACCCCCAAACAAGATACAAAAACTGATGTCACTAGAAACACGACTGAGAGCATGTAAATACTCCCCGTGTGATAAGAACAATATTGGCACAGCATGCGTGAGCTAAAAAAGGCAACTGGCTAAAAACACTACAGAAGATCACCTCTACTTTACCTGTAAGCTGACAACATAAATTGACAACATAAACTGACAATGGGAAGGAATGAACCTTAAACTCTTGCATTCCCCATCCTGAAATGACAGTAACAGGACAGGTTTTTCCTACTAAATACAAACAGACACTCAAATACCAAATTTAGTTCATGCTTTTCAGGGGAGGGGAAAGGGACAGAAACATTTAAGATTACAATTTAATACAGGCCACTCATCTATGATGGTATGTGAGCAGAAAACCAACCTGGAACATGTTGACATCAAGTGCTCTTACTGGTCCAGTGTGCTTGTCTTTCTGGGCAATTATTACTTCAGCATCTCCAGCTATGATTTTGGCTGGGTCATACAGAATGACATTTCCATTTTCACCCCCAGCAATCAGAACTCCCGAGACTCTCTCACTCGAGGTCATGCTGTGTGGCCCCCATATCAGCTTGTGGTACCTGTAAGACACAGAGGTCCCCACAGTCTACAACCATCCACCACCTGCTCCACATATACTGATGCACGCCATTTTGCTCACCCCAAGTTAAAGTCTCCAGACTGCTGCCAAGAGACAGAGCAGACACATCAGAGAAAAGCACTGTCTGCATTTCACCTTAAGGATGAGCCTCTGTACTTAGAACATGTCCCAATTCTGCTTATTGCCAAGATGCAGGGTCACGACACGTACAACCAATAACGTGGTAACCTCAATAACATCTCATCTCCTGACTGCAAAATCACGTAAGTGCTCCCAACTGAACCTGATTTTGAGATCACCTTTGCAAAACAATAGGAATAATGAAAGTAAGGACCATAAGCTCGTCCAACCTCAGCCTGGAGGTAAACCTCTGCTATTTGTGAGCAACTCTTCATACAAGAGAGGAAAAAGGTGGAACTAGAAAAATTCCAAATCCTTTTCCATATTTGTGCTTCTGGATGTGCAACAGTTTTATCTGCTGTACTGGAGGTTCAGCAAGTAGTTTATTCACATCATAGACACGTGTCTCTTGGACCACAATCTGTTTTCCATGCTAAATCAAGAGGAATTAAACCTAACTCCAGAAACAAAGTATTTTCACACCACTATGTTCATCTGCAAATACCCAAATCTACTCAACGAACTCGCTGCATAATTGAAACAGCATTCCTGTGTATTCAGCCATGCAAAGAACGAATTTCCTCTACATAAAATGACATGCTTACATATCAGCTCTTATGCAAGCAGAAAGGAAACCCCCATTGACTGGAAGGTGGCAATGAGTTACTTTAGCATTCACCGTCTTATTAACTTCTTTGTTATCCCTGGACAACCTTCAAGTAATTTCTTTAAATCACAGCAAATACAGCATGATAAAATACATACTGCAGAAAGCTAGACAAAGAACATATGCTGGGTAAGAAATATTGCAACAGCCAAGTGTTCAGTCTCCTAGTACAGTGTTCAGATTACAGTGGGGCGTCACCAAAGAATGATGCTACAAACGGGAACTTTTGGACAGACCTTTTCCCTGCATATGATTTTTATACTTCTGCGCTTAACTATGCAAGGTTACAAGAAATGGAGTGACTGACAGGGTTGTCTGGGCACTAGTATTATACCACCAGCAAGATTCAACAGGACTCAAGATAATCCAAAATGGAGGCAGAAAACGGTGAGGAACAAAAAACAGAGTTAACTGTGCAATTACTTTACTCTTGCCCTATGCTCTTTCCAAGACAAAGTATGGCTCTACAAAGGCAAAGCAAAACTTTCCTTGGAGGACAATTAACAAGGTTTATTGCAGGATTTATCTGTTGTGGGTTTAATCACCCAGACATTTTCATTTGCTGCAAACCAAAATAAAGCCTGACGTATACATTGCTGGCCAGGACACTTCTTGTCCTTTGTAATGCATTTTCTAGGACAAAGTCAAGTTCTTGTGTTGCTCACCAAGGAAAGCACTTTCAAAGGAGCACTGCAGCCTGGCTATAAGGAGCGTTTTCCTGAAGTTCAGTAAGGAAACGTTACTTGGCAAGCCTTGAAGAATCTCACTCATAGTTAAAACAAGCTAGAACAAAGAAATTTTTAAAGACTGAATACCTCATCCTGCTCTCAGCAGGTCAGTAACATGGTTAACATCAGCTTTGCCTACAATGCAGGGCATTAAACAGAGACTGTGGCTGTTTCTCACAAGACCCACATACTAAAATGTGGACAACTGCAGGGCACAGATTGCGAGCTGCCTGACAGCACAACTGTTCTGCCAGCCCCACAAATCATCACAACAAAACTGACATGGCACAAAGCCAGGAGCCTAACACCTTGTGCTGCCTCCTGCAAATGCTGCTGCAACCGTTATTTACCCAAATCAGGAGAGCAACCCTAAGCAGGGTCACAACCTTACTGTGCGCAAACGCACAGAATTTCACAGAATTTCAAGTTGTTTATAGACAACACTTAACCTTTAGGTACCCACCAAACTGCATTTGGTCAAGAACTTTAAGAAACAGTTGTAGTTCCTTAGGCCTTAAAAGTTACAGCTTTAGAATGAAGACTCAAGTCCAATAGATTTCTACTCATGTCAGAGGCTGGGGAGACGGCAATCATTTCCCTAGAAGCATCAAATTCTCACTTGAACATACTGGCAAAATGCTGTAATTGCCTGCACCTCCAGTCATGTCATTTCAGGTCACCAGGCCAAAGAGTAGTTATGCTGACATAGCTGGTATGAAAAAGTCACGAATCCAATCCAATGGCAATGAAACTTTTCACTTCCTTCTCTACCCATAGAAACACCCTGCACCTCCACGTATGTTGTTTCAGCTCACCCACGAGTGGCAGCCACTGGGCCAGTCACCAAAGAGCCAGTGCAAGTGCTGCCAAGGTGGAAATTGGATTCTCTGATGCTAACAATATTTCTTTGGACAAACGCATAGTAAGAAACTGGAGCTAAGTGGAGTTGTAAAGTTGGGAACTTGGCTTCCCAGCTGCAGGGTGAGGTATGATACTACACACACAACATGACCCAGTTTAGTTATGTTACAGGAGTCTTCCTGAAATACGTAAATGCAAACAGGATGGGGTAATGTGAAAAGTTGCAATTGTATTTTCTTAATTTCCTATTTCCTTCTGTTATCTGGAGAATCCCAGAGGCTCCTCAGGATAAACGGTCTGCATACATATTCAAACCTACCAGCCAATGTCAGATTTTTTAGGTTATGACAGAGCATGTGCTGCTTACAACTCCTCTGGATCCAAGCTCACTGCCTTCACAATGACACCTCACCGTCCCACAACAGTGGCACTCACACACCTTCATCCTTCAGCGCTGAACTTCTGCTCTTTTCTAACTGCACATAAGCCTCATGAAGTGGCCTTTCCACATACACCACATTTAACAGTTCCACAGACATTACTTTTCCCTTCAAAACCCACTGCTTGCCTGTGAGAGGAGGAGAAGGTGGCACAAGACTTCATATCCAGCGAAGGGTCTGATAAGTCCAACTCAAATATTTCTAGAGAAGCACTTGTACTGAAGGTTGCATCTAGCTGCTGAGCTGATGTACCTGCAAAGAAGTGGGCTTGGCAGTGAGAAAGCCACGGCACACAAAAGAGCAACTGCAAAAGCAGAACAAGGAGGGGCATAAAAACATCATCCTCGCAAAAAGGACTCTGAGATGAGGTCAGGTTTCTGTTACTTAGATGTAGTTCTACATAACTCTCCTTGATATGATTCTCCCTTTAGGGGTTTCTTAACCAATATGGACAGGAAAAGCTTTGGGCAAGTGCCTCTCTCTCCCTGATGATGAACAGAAAACAATCAAAGTTACAAATGAGCTGAAAAGAAGAGCGAACTAGCAGTTAGGGTTGCTGTCACCATACCCTGGCAAAAAGAAGAGGATGCTTGCTGTCACTTGCAGAATGCAGAGTATGTTTTCATGCACGGCACAACTTGAGAACTCCACTAAAGACACTGCACCATATACTCCACTCCAGCCTTCAGGACACAAAATAACTCCTACAACTTTCAAGTATGACCACTTCATGGCAGCCACCACATGTAGCCTGAGGCCTGCTAACACATGCTTCCCAAAAACTCACCTGTGGCCAGGTAAATGGGGTGCTGTTGGGAAGGGCTCCATGCCTGCATGGCAGTACGATCAATTTCCTTCAGCTTCATTTCACTAAAAGATACAGCCAAGAAAGGTAATGCTTAAACGGAGCACGAGGAAACCACACTGCCATGGATTCAGCAGCTGCATTAGGATTTGGCAGAAACAGCCAGGGTGATCGTTTTCCTAAAGATAGCCCGCAGACAGACTCCTAAGCCATCTTCTCCAGTGCACACCCAGAGGGAAGGGGAAGAACAAGCCTCCCTTGACAGAATAACATCGATACGTAGAGGAAACTGATGGTTGCTGAACAAATCACAACACAGGAAAATGCGGGCAAAGCTTCAACTGCTCTGAAAACCCCTCTTCCAGCAGCATCAAGGCACACATCGGGCACCCTACAGCAGCTTTCAGCCTTAACCCGCGTAACAAACCCACCCTGTAGAAAACCCTCACTAGACCCTTGTCGCCAAATACCCTGAGAAGCCAAGCAGATCAGAGGGCGAAAAACGGTTTAAAAGCCTCCACCGCCTCCTTTTCGGGTCTTATTTCAACACCCTGGGGTTTCCCCGTCGGAAACTCCGTGCACGGCCACCGAGCGCCTCGTCGATCGGCACATACGCCCCGTTTCCGACACGAACTGAAGGGAAAAAAGTGGAAAACGAGCGTTTCG